ACCGAGCGGAAGGAGCAGCCCTTAGCCCTTGGACAAATGAAAAGACGCTGGTTACAACGCACTTTAGTTGGTTTCTTGGTTTTCTTTTTTGGGTTTTGGCCAAATTGGCCATCTTTTTAATATAGCTAAGTAATTTCGCATTTTCTGCTCTTGACTTGATTTCATTTAAATTGTTCCACTGTTTGGCTTAGTTGGGTTCACAATGCGTTCATGCTTATTTACATACAGTACGTGTCAAAATATAAACCATTTTCAAAATTATGAAGAATCTTTTTGCCAAAACGAAATTTTGTATCAACTAAACAGTTAACTGGTTTCATTTTGTGCTTAAACAATTTCTAAACCATTACAGAATAAATAATTTATCTAAATTAAGAACTAAATGTGTGCAATGTGTTGTTTTGATGAAGAGTGCAGGAAATGCGTCTCTGAAATTACATTTCATGGGCAGGGGCAATTGTTGCCATGGCCTCCATCACATCAGTTACTTTCAAAGTGTTTAGAGCGAAGGATGTGTACAATAAAGTAGTTATGGAATACACTTAAAGCTAGGGCTAGGTGCTAGGGCTAAACCAAAATCGAGTTACAACAATAATACAGAATAAGTTTGTCATTTTCTGCTCAATAGCTGCACATCGGAGGAAACTAGAAAGATTCGTGTATTCTAGAGCGCTTAGCTTAAATTCTTCTGTGTCAGATTCTAGATTCTAGTGTCTAGGCTCTAGAGCTAGTGTAATACTCCATCTAGCTGGTCAGCTTCTCCCAGATCAGCATGACCATGCAGATGTTGGGCGTGACATGGACCAGGTAGGGCACCAGCCCCTTATAGAACCCGCGCATGCGCTCGTACCTCCAAGTCTGTTTGATGCAGTCCCAGGTGCCGTTGTAGCGGTGGTGGTGATCCTGCAGTCGGGCCCGCACCACCTGGTACGGATAGGTGGCCGCCGCCGCGATCAGCTTGGACACGGCCGCGAAGGCCAGGTACTCGGTAGTTGCCTGTGTGTAAAAAGGAATACATATATTAGTAAGGCAAAACGGAATGGCTGCCAAATCGCAGAGACGTCATCACAGCCGGATATATTCGGTTATGGTTGTGTACAGATGTGTTCATCAAAATAATAGCAATGAGAGAGTGTGATTTTCTGAATCATAATAAGTTTCGGGGAATTATGTGTTCCCTTAGCTTCTATCGACCATTGAAATGATTATCAAGGTAACTGAAGAACGAATGTTTTTCTTGCAATTAAGAAAAGAAGACATAGGAATATTATAATAGTATATTCCTATTGTATTGTCTATAGATATATCTAATCTGCTTTGATTTAACGACACTTGATAAATCATCTTGTATTCAAACTGAAAATACGATATTATTACTTTACAACAAAGTGTTTTTTCCAATTGCAAGTTAAAGTTCTATTAAACTTCTACGTTTTCATAATTTATGGCTGACATTTTAAGTGCTATTATTTTGACCGCATCTGTCCCACTTTAGTATATGTCCGATGTCAATGGCACGCGCAGCTCGGTCATGTGATGGTGACGGGGATGATCTGGTCATCCGTGATCTGCGTACTCACCAGCTTCGTGTCGATGGGCAGCTTGCGGTACTCGTTGTAGGCGTTCTTCATCTCCTCGTAGGTCATGAACTGGATGGCTCCGTGGGAGACGCCCAGCATGCCGGGCACGAAGCCGCGGTACAGACCCCTGACTCCCTCCTCCTTGTAGATCTGTCCCAGGGCGTGGATCATGCCTCGGTACTCGGCACTGCTAGCCGCGTCGCACTGCAGGCAGAGACGGGTCTTCACCACCCAGATGGGATTGGTCAGCAGCAGGGTGAGGGCTCCGGACTCGGCAGCAGCCAGCATGTGCATCGCCGGACCCAGGGGCATGGTGGTGTTGCCTCCCTGGATGAACGTCTTGATGGTGTTGTAGCTATGGATATAAACACAGTGTCATTAATGTTATCATTGGCTTCGCACGGCATGGTACTTACAACATGAAGTACAGGCCCCAGGAGGAGCCGGATCCCCAGACATTGGGAGTGACGCCCTTGTAGAGTCCACGGAAGCCCTCCTGCCGGAAAATGGTGGTGAAGGCACTGCTCAGTCCACGGTATTGCGGCACCGTCGCTGTCCGGCCATCGTTCACTGCAATAAGACAACGAATCACGCTCGTAAATGATAAACAAGTCTAGACATTGCAGCCTTGAAGGCTGGTACGAGTATGGATACTGCAACTCGTACTGGTACTGGTAGCAAAGGGTCTGTTGTGGGTACGTCATCTGGCGGGTATTGTACTTCAGTTGGGCAACTGTACGGCTACGGGGAAATCAGTTGTTGACTCCAAAAAGCCAAAGTTGTTTTCGCCAAAAAAAACACAGATAGATAGCGATAATTGCCAGCGGATGCGATAAGCTGGGGGGAGTCGAAAGCGAGCATATTTGCTTGTTTTCGCCTCCATTAGCAGCTATTTAGCTATTTATAAGGCGGCTACATATACATATACGGCATATATAGGCGGACAGCAGCAATCATAAGATCTGGCCTGACAACAGAGCACCAGGCAGAAGAAAGGGGCTCGTCCCGTCCGTTCTGGACTATTTATAGCTGCCCCAGGCGTGACCTTGAAACGGGGAGTGGACAACTCAACTAGCCTATTGTACGGGGGGCATTGCGATGAACCATATTGACTTTGGGCAGACTAATGAGTTTTTCGACATGCACACTCGATAAAGCTGCAAAGTGCTGAATCAGCCAACTTCCCGCTTGGCAACAGTGGGGGGAACTCGTTTTCGTTTTGGCCACTTTATCTGGGTGCTTGTGCCACATAAACCGGACAGTTGCCGCTGAAAGTTGCCGTTAAACAAAGCCAGCAACGCAATCAATGTACAGTCAAGACAAGTGGTCACGTGATTGAAACCGAGCAGAGCAACAGCAGAGCAAGAGCAGAAAAGCAAAAGCAAAAGCAAGATAAACGGGTTTCGTTTGGGCCAACATGCGTCATCGCTAAAAAGGCCTTGCGCAAGTCAATAGAAAACAGCTGTTGCCAAATCGAGTAACCGAAAGATTCAAGGAGGTTCACAGCTTTGGGTTCCTAACCATCCCAACTTGGGTTCGCTTTTTATCAGTTCACAATGCTCGCATGGTGTGACTTTAATGCACACAAACAACAACGACTGGTGGTTGTTATTGTTTACAGATCATTTTTCTGGTGAATTTACATATTCATTTAACGGCTAAGGCGATTTTTAGCGTTGATCCGAGCAAACTGAACTGCAAAATTAATAAACATAAAACCCGCTCCGTTTGTTGTTGTATTGTTGTTTTGGTATTTCGAATCGTACTATACGGAAATATTGTTCACGTATTTTGCGCATGAAGCGCAATCGAGGACAATGATATGATTCAGATTCAGTACAATTATGTAGTTTTTTAGCAAACACCGCATAAACACAACGAATCAGCTATAAATACTGTATCATATCTGAATATCAAAGGTTGATAGCTGGTATCGATCTTTGAACCAGTCAGTAAAAGTAAATGCCAGTAAACAATGCGAACTGCTGTTAGCCAGTTTCCTGCCTTCGAATTCCAGATTAGACTAATTTGAGTGTTTTGAGGCAACTGTCAACAAACCCATAAATTCTTTCTATCTATCGCATAAATGAACACTAAATTCACGTGCCCGTGGCCCCATTTTAGTTTTGTTTATGTGCGAAAACTTGAACGTAGTAGTGACGCGAAACGTCTCAAAGTTTCCATGTTGCAACAAATAAAAAAAGAATTAACGTCACTTCTCGGATACGCAAGCGTCTCAAATTTTCCATGGAAAATTTGTAAGACTGTGCGCAAACAAAACGCGAGCAGCGCATAAAGTGCAATAATAATCTGCAGCCAGACTGGCGGCATTTTTTGCGGCACGTGCCGGGGGTTCTATCTTCACTACACAGAAATATAGTGAGTTTTCTAGTGACGGTTCCGTATTTCTTATCATGTTTTTGTTTTTAATACTTCTATTTTTGTAAACAGTCTTTAGTCAGTTTAAACAAAAATAGCTAATCTCAAAATATATGTATTTAGTATTATTATAACATCACTATTAATTAAACATATGACTTTAGGATCACTTGAGAGCTGCAGTTATAGTATTAAATATATTGTACATTTTTAGGGGCCAAGGAAAGGAACTAATAAGAATACACATCGTATCAATTTTTGTATTCTGGTTATTAAAAGTAGCCTTTTTCATATTAAGGTAAAAGCAGTTAAATCAGTTATATTTAAAGTTTTACTCTAATATGATCTGATATGCATGAACATATATGTATCTAAAATTACAATATTGTTTTAAGATTTTCGACTGATATAACTTCGTTATTATATTAAATAAACTTATACTTATATATATAAGTATACTTAATAACGAGGTAAAGCCAGGCGAAAAGTTTAAAACAATATATAAATTTTAGACATACATACTCCAAAGTAAAATTTTAAAAATACCTGATTTAAGAGATTTTTCCTAAATAGGACAAAAAATGCATCTAAAAAAAATAATTATTTTTCAAGGCTCTATTTAAAAAACAAAAATCGAATACTAAGTCACTAGAACACCCTTTTTCTCCGGTGCAGATTGGAATTCCCCTGTGTGGATGGATGACTCACCTGCGAATCGAATCTTGATCAGATCCAGGGGGTGTAGGATGAGTGTGGACGCCACTCCGCCGGAAACTCCGGCCACCATATGCTCGTACTTCACATGGGCGAAAACGTTGAATTTCTTGGGACTGCCCGTCGATGGTGCTTTGATTGGATTCATTGTGCGATTGCTGGGTTCTGGTTCTGTGCGCTTGTTCTGTATTATTGTTGCTATCGTAGGCTTATTTCGCTGCTCTACGCGAAATTCACATCTACACCTGCTACTGGTGAATTGTACTATAACTACGTGCTATTTACACTCTTTGGCTTTTAAGCTTTTGATTGATAAATGGGCGCAAATCAAAGGAAATCGCTTGCCGAATTTATCTTGTTGCTAGGCGCACAGTTGTTGCTGCTGTTGCTGTTCTTGTTGTTGTTGCTGCTGCTGCTGCTGCTCCTGTTGTTGTTGTTGCTGCCGCTGCTACACTTGGAACATTTCTGCCTTTGCTTTGTTGTTGCCCAGCTCATATTTTCACCCGTTTGTTGCCAGAGGTTTAGACTTTTGTTTGGCTAAGTGCTGCTGCTGCCTTTTCCGTATCAGCTGTTACCAGAATGCTGATGAACTAGTCGCTCCGCAAAAGTTATACTGTTTTATTTTCGCTTAGCCATCCGTTTCTTATGTAATGCCAAATTCATAGACAGGCTGCTAAATTGGCTCCGAATAGCGGGTTTGCTTAGCTGACAAGCGACTGATTAGCGCACTGCAAGTAATAGTCAAGCACGTGTGGCAATGGAAATTAAGTAACAAGTTTTCTACGCGAGGGCAGGCGGACAAATGCGAACAGCAAGCTCTTGAAGAAAAAACTGAAATGTATCTCGGCGGCTCGTTCATTCATTGTCATCGGTTGGTGATGTACAAAATTTTCAATAGTATCGTTCAAAAAATCGATTACTTAAGTCCCCTTTACACTGGTGACCATTTTTCTATAACACAATTGATTAAAAAAATAAATGTTAAATGTATTTTAATCTCCAAATAACGAATGTAGCCTTATATTATATGACAGCTTGATATAGTCATCCAAATCATGGGACTTTAATAAGTTTTTTATTTGTAAACATATATTTTAAACATATATTTCCTAAAATGTAACAAAATATGTTAGATTTACCAGTATAGTATTACTAAAAGTAATGTCTGTCTCAATAATAATAATAATTTATTTTATTTGGCAAGATAAGCCTATAAATATATTTTGTTTAAGCAATATATTAACAAAGAGGCTAAAAGGTGGCATAGCGGGCTTAGTGGGGTGCGTAACTTAGCTAAGTAAAAAAGTGTAATGGTTGGGATGATAACTAACTAACTCAGGTGTCTTGAAAGAGTGGCAACGCTCTTCAGAGCGACAGGATAAATAACGGAATTTGAAAGCCAAGTTTAAATATTTTTAAAATGTAATGTCAATATTATTTATCATAATTTCTTAAATAGAAACGCGTACCCCCTTGAAAAAATGATTTTGTTTTATTTTCTTTATTTTTAGGTAAAACTTTTTAGTGTTAACAATTGGCCTTTACTGAAGTTAAGCTTTTGCTTCCGTTTAATCTCCTTAGGCTGATTTAAACTTATAGTATTTAAATTAAAAAACAACAATTTGCTTAATTGTTTTATTCTTGATTGAATCTCTGTTGGTATGTTATTATTTCTACTGAAGCAAAGTGCAGTTAATTACAAATTTCCTGGATCGAAGATTCTATATTTAGATGCACCTTCATCGTTACCCATTCTTAAAAGTTTCTTAATCACCGTGACAGTTTCCTTGAAAGCGGCCAATACAACTAATTCCCATGCATAGGCATTCACCGATCTATTGAATATTCGATGAGTGGTCATGCAATCGAGGCACTGGCACCCGTTAATTACTAAATAAACCATGCTTGCCCACAAACGAGCATCGACAACTGTAATTTGCCTTCGATATTCCAATTAAATTGTGTAAACAATTTGGCATAAGCCAGAGGTCCTTAATTACAGGCGGCGGGACGGGCAGGGATACAGGTAGACAACAGTGCGGCAAAGGATTCGAGTAGAAGGGGTAAAATGACACAATTACGGGCTGGAGTAGCCAACCGTCGTAACCGAAGAAAGGCCGCAAATTGAGTGGGGGCGTGGCCATTGTTGGGTAAACATCGGACAGCTATGGCCACAGCTCCGAGTGCCAGTGGCAGTGCCCGTGTTCTGCGGTCACGGGAACACATGTTCGCCTTCACATCCCGTCGAATGCCATGAAATTTTAATTTTCATTAGTCGAACGATATAATTTAGAGACCGCAGACTGCGAGCAATTCGTGGTACTTAGTTGCAGCTACTTTTGTATCTCATTATACGTCTCGATAGAGCTTTAATTATTTTCGTTTTGTGCTGTGTGCGCATTTCATTGGCGCGGCTATGCCAGCAATTCGCAACAATTTGTCAGTAAATAATTTCGAATTGTTCTCTGTCTGCGGGCAATCAAAAAAATCTAAAAAACGCGCTCGCTCAAACGAAAGAGAGTGCAGAGATACTTTTGTTTCTGTATCTTCTGCTGGCTGCTTGCTGCACATGGGACTGGGGATTGGGGATTCCGGATTGGGAACTGCGGACTGCGGACTGAGGATTGGGGATGAGGAATGGGACTGGATGTCAACAGTGCTCTGATTTATTTGAGCGCATTCAACGCTTCGTTGCATTTCGTTAATTTGCCCGTTTTCCGCTGCCAGAAGAGCTGCAGCCCAGAAATATTTACCCACACACTATGAGAGTCGCCGCCCATCCTTGGTAAACTGCCAAAATACTAAGGAAAACCCAAGTGCTTTCATCATAATCAGAAAACCAAAATTATCAACGAGCCGCATAATTATATTGTAATTTATGCAGTTGTCGAATTGGTTAAAATGTTTGCAATGTTCGCTGCTCGTAAAAGATTTCAAACACCCAGACGTGACCAATGCCAATTTGTGCTCCAATCAATGGACGCCTCGTCTTTTATGGCCAAAAATTTGGTCAATTACGATCAATTAAGCCATACATATGCAAATTATTGCCACCTGCTGATGCGGTGTGAAAAACGTTGGGCATATCAATTATGCGGGCTTTGAGGGCGGATATGAAAACGCCCACAGCGGATGTAGCAAAATAATAGACCCATCTTCTGTTTGGGGAAAGCTCAAGTCTCAACGCCCAACATTCCTAAATTTTGTGGACTTGTTAAAGCTAAACATTGTTTAAAAACTATTTCCTTTTACATAGATATCGACTATACTTGTAATATTAAATTTATTTATTAAATTTATTTATCTGGATCGACTTTTAAAGAATTAATATGTTAATTTTGTTATAGTATATGTTAAACGAAACCTATTTTCATGAATTTTTCTATTGACTACTGAACTGAAAAATCAACTATAAAAAATTACAAACTGAAAAGATTTAAAATGTTGTGTAAATTAAGAAGGGTCTCTTAATTGATAAAGCTAACATCATGCTTTACATTTCTCCTAATTTATGGTAAGTAAAAAGATGAAATTAAAACCCTACCCCCAGAAAGCCTTCCTGATTAGCTCCTCATCCCAATATATGCACCCGAATGGGCGATATATATATATATTTACCGCAGATATGTAACTAAATTGCAGATACAAATCGGTGAGCACACTCGAGTGTCTGCTAATGATGCCCGACAGTCACACCCACTGGCCACTGATGTTTGAATTTAAATTGGTCACTAATACGCCTCGCGAGAACCCCATCCTCCGCCGCTGCGCCGCCGGAGAAGCCCCATTCCGGAAAGGAGCTAACGATGACGGCGCATTAATGGCAGGGCGGGCTCTTCAGCAGTCCGGCGATGTCTGATTACCGAGCGATTCGAGCAGAACGCAATTACGGAGCAGGAGAGTGTTGCAGCGTGTCCGGGAGTGGGTGGCTCTGGGTGACTCTGGGTGGTGGTGGGGCAGCTCCATTGCCGGAAACTGGTTCGCTGTCCGCACCACCCGGCAATTAGCCGCCAGCCAATGGGGTTCGCCCGTCAGAAAGAGACACCCGCTGTTTGTCATGCGCCATATTGGAAAGTGGGAGGAGCCAAGAAGTAAGTGGTGGTTTCAGAATATCGACTTGGGTGCCATGGTACGCGTACGTGATGTCTGCTGCAGTTTGTCAGTTGCTCGCCGATCTCTGAACGGTTCACTGCGTCGTGTCTGGCCCGCAAAGAAAGCCCTGTAAAAAAAAATATTTATTAATTCTTCATTGGTAAAGTCACCCAAACGAGAGGGCAAAATGGAACGGCCGGCCCTGCTGCAGAATGGAGAGCTGGGCAACATGGATGCTTCCACAACCAGACTGGTCAGCAAGCCCTTTCCCAAGCCCTTCTCGATCGAGAGTCTGATTGCCCAGCAAACACCTGCCAATACGGCGCCACCGTCGCCGCCCGAGGAGCGGGATCAGGAACAGGAGCCGGAGCACAAGCAGGAACAGGAGCTGAGTGCCCGCGCCATGGTGGCCAGCTCCGCCCTGGGACTCACCCAGTTCCCGCTGTATAATCCCTGGCTGCACGGCTACTTTGCCCAGAACCACGAGAGATTAACGCATTTAATTACCGGCGGCTGCTACCTGCCCTCCAATCCGCCAGCCAGTCATCCTGCTCCGCAGCAGCCGCCACCACCACCACCACCACCACCACCGCCCACACATGCCTTGGAGAAGCAGCTTCCGCCCACCTTGCCGCATCCGCTGGATACGCGATTCCTGCCTTTCAACCACGCCGCCGCCGCCGCCGGAGTGGCACCCACGGATCTCAGCTACCGCCGATTGGCCGAGCTGATGAACCAGGACTACGTGCACAGCCTGAGTGTCCACGCTCGACTGCAGCACATGGCCGCCGCCGGCCGGATCCAGGACCAGAAGCCATCGAACCCAGCTTTGGTGCAACACCAGGAACCGTCGCCGCCGCAGGCCCACTCCTCGCCAGCAAAGTCCGGCAGCCACAGTCCCGTGGAGCCAACGCTGGATGTGGGCATGGACGAGGACTTCGAGTGCAGCGGCGACTCCTGCAGCGACATCAGTCTGACCATGTCTCCCAGGAACTACAACGGAGAGATGGACAAGAGCCGCAATGGAGGTGGGTACAAAAGAACAATCCTGATTTTGGGGTAGGGATGGCATTTGGGGACACGTTTGAATAAAGAGATCTCGAGATAGAACTGGGGCTTGGAACTATAATCAACAGAATTCACAAAACTTTTTAAAAATGATAGAAAACAAAAAATGAATTGATTTTTACACGAACTAATAGCATTAAAGTTTGATATCAATTATTTAATGTTTGTGGACATTAAACATGTTAGGAACAATTACTTAAATGCTTATGGAAATTGAGTAATTATTATCTTCATTGTGATCGTTTTTTTTATCATTCAATAGCTGTCAAATTAATAATTCTTAGCAAGATCCTGTTCTATACTTCGTTTTAGTTATAGGGACAAGGGTCCTGTAAGTTTCGGCAGCCCTAAAACGCTATAGATGACAGACCCATTTCATGATTTTTTAAAGGTATTTTGTAAACAGAAATTGCAGGCTATAATTACTGATCAATCAATCAACATTCAACATATACTTCAGTTATATCTTATTCAAACTTAGAAATGTTATTGTTATTATTTTTTGGATTTAATAAACCAATTTTGTTAGGGCTTTCTCAATAATAGCTCCAAATAAAATTATTCATTATTTTCAAAGGAAAGATTGGTAAAATGGATTGCTTTTAAATTAAATTAAATTAAATTACTATGATTTCCAAGGAAATATAATCAGTTATTTATATTTCCTTTTATTTTTAAATTTAAGTATTTTAAAGATTTGTGCAAAAAATTATTGTTTTAATATTTCAGTCCTTTAAAATTGATGAGTGGATTAACCAGTTGTTAAAAAATCAGTTAAAACATACATATTTGGAAGTAGACAAAAAATATCATATTGTGACCCGTTTTAAACAGTAAAATAAAACCTAAGAAACAGAATATAATCTATAAATTAACTCTTCTTAGAAAAAGGTTTTGAAAAACTCTCTATTTTAAAACCACAACAATTTGCTTAGAAAGTTTAGAACTGAACCTTTTAGCTTCCTGCCCCTTTAACGGTCTGTCCAGTTTTCTGGGGTCTCATTTTGTCGAGTGTTAGTGTCACGGTAATTAAAATTGAAGCTGCCACGTCATAATCAAAATTAGCATAGAATGCATTAAGACCCAATGTTTGGTGTCAATCAAAGCAGTGAAAAGTTTTCACAACTCCCGACGACGGGCTCCAGAGGCGAGACTCGACCACAATGGAAGCCCTGCGCTGCTGGAGTGCTGACGTTTTGACAAACGTAACGATTTAGTTTGGTCATTCGAATGGAATGGAAGTGTACGACTCCCAGCCACCGCACGACATCAACATCAACATCACCATCAACATCATCATAATCATCCGTGGCCTCCTGCTGCTAAACAAAGTATGTCTGTCTGCAAACTGAGCCATCCAAACCGTGCCATAATCAATTTGCCAGCAGAGCTGTAAAAAGCGCAACAAATTCCCCGACTAATATATTCATAACTGGGCGATAAGCAGAGTGGGTGTGTGGTTGTGGGTGTGGGTGGGTTAAGGCAGTTGTTACAAGGGGGTGCTTTTACTTATGTGGGTGCTGTCATGGAAAAAGGGGATCAAAAGCGCAGATAAATCAGTGACAGCGGGCACTTTTGAAGCGTGTAAGTGTTAAAAAACCGCTTAACCGTGTACTCAAAATTAACAGGATTTGGATGGGGTAGATTATTTATCTGGCTGGCAGTGGAGTGTCACCCTCGTTTGCGTCTTTATCCTCCTTCAATGGGGCATTCAGCTTTCACGCTCAACTTCTGTCCACCCAAAACAAACAGATTAAGTTTCGAGTATTCCTGATGACTTCCCATCCTGCCATCTCTTCGGGGGCGATGGTAGCCTTCAGACACATGTATCCAGTTATAAATAAATATGTTTGCCACAAGTTATGGCACGGACCATTTGCGCCAGAAGTCCGAACTCGTTAGGGCCCCATTAATGGGTCTCTCGAAGTGAGTGTCTTGAGCCCGAGGAGAATCAGTCAGGATGTGGGCAGGACCGGGGAAACATTATTTAACGCAATCTGTTAGATCGACTCCGAAGTGAGGCACTAAACGACACATAAGATGTTGAGGAGTCTAAGAAAGAATTTCTGTATCCCGCTTCAAAAATATTTAACTTATTTCGTAGATTTTTTAAGAGTTGAAGGTCATAAACATAAAGGACATTTTAAAGGAATTTGTGAATTAAAATCTCAAATGAATGACGCTATCGTTGTTATGTGCATTAACTTAAAGGCAATTTTTAATGAATTTTGGTTTATTTTAAAATATTTAAAATATTAACAGTTTTTTATATGACAACTCTATTAAAAAGTGAAAGATATAAATATCATAGCTAAATAAAAGGTTTAGCTTAAGAAATTAACATCAAGTAGATATTCTGAAGATAATGAAAGTAAATACATAGAATTATGTTTATTAATTCATAATATTTATACAAGGTTTTTTGTTTATACGAAGGTATATAGCATCACTTAATTATTAAGTATTTGGCTTAAATCTTAAAGGTGTTTCTTTCTGAACTCCCAAGTTATAAAACACTCTATATTAAGGACCGATTTTCTGTTGTTATTAAATCAATTAAAATAGTTTTTCATGTAAAAATCTTGACTAATTTCAGCCTACACCAACTCGGATAGCGAGGATTGCAGTGATGACGAAGGTGCTCATTCTCGGCACGAAGGTGGCGGCATGGGCGGCAAGGATTCGCAGGGCAACGGCTCCAGCTCCAGCTCCAAATCCCGTCGCCGTCGCACAGCCTTCACCTCGGAACAGTTGCTGGAACTCGAGCGGGAGTTCCATGCCAAGAAGTATCTAAGTCTCACGGAGCGCAGTCAAATAGCCACCAGTCTAAAGTTGAGCGAAGTTCAGGTGGGTTCGATTGCAAAGCTAAGGAAATCATTTGACTCATGTTATAACTCATTCAATAGGTTAAAATCTGGTTTCAAAACCGCCGAGCCAAGTGGAAAAGGGTCAAGGCCGGACTCACCTCCCACGGATTGGGTCGCAACGGGAGCACCAGTGGCACCAAGATCGTGGTGCCCATCCCAGTGCACGTGAACCGGTTCGCCGTGCGGTCCCAGCACCAGCAGCTGGAGAAGATGTGCCTCAGCGGACCGAAGCCGGATCTGCGCAAGAAGATCTCGGCGGAGGCGATCGGGGGGTTCGAGAAGTTCAGCGGCGCCACCAACGCCCCACCGCCAGTGGGCGTCGGTCTGGGAGTGGCCACGCCCCTCTCCCTGGCCAGGAGCATCTATTGATGGAGTTGGCCCCTGAATCTGTGCGAGTGTAAATACCTAAGGAGGCAGTTCGGCTGCAAATGGAGTTGTCTTTTTGTAAATAAACAAACGAAAAATCAAATTTAAACGAAAAAGTCCTTTTTTAATTTTCACAGACATAAATGGATATGATTTTATTCTAAATGACTGAAAGAACGCCATTGTAAAATTAATTAAGTAAAGTATTAAACTATTTGTTGTGTAAGGCATCATTGGAATTTCTTTAAGACAACACATTGAATTCCAAAGAAGGACTATATAAATCACAATCAAAATCTGATATAAAGTTATAGACCCATATTGACAATATATCCTTTGTGCAACTGACCACATGAAAGGACATATATCCTGCTGGCCTAAAAACACGCCCAGCCGGGAGCCGGAAGTCGAAAGTCGAATGGCACCAGGAGCCACTTAAGGGACCCCGGGCACAAATCTCGCCTCGATGTCAATTGGAACAATTAAACTGCCAATTTGTGCGATTTAGCACGGCCCGAAGTGGCCGTTTGGAGTGTCGAAAATCGAAAGTCGAGCGTTGCAACTCGAGTTCGGATCGATTTATCTGTGACTAATTTTTGTAATTTAACGCACCAAATTGTCACGAAATAAGAGGCAGGGAATAGTGTCCTGCGAGCAAAAGAGAGAGAGAGAGAGAAAGAGAGAGAGAGGGCCAGCAATCACTCCAGGTGTCTCACGTGTCACGCCTCTTCATCCTGAATCCTGAATCCAGGATCCAGGATACTTCCCTCATGACTTATTAGCATCAGCATCTCCCTCCCATTGTGTGAGTTTTTAATTGCATTACCGACTTATTGGCTGCCTCCTGACTTTTGTTTGTCCTAACTCCCCTGCTCGCCCCTCTCCGCTCTCCCATGGCAAATGCCTAATTGTGCCTGGCTGAAAGGGCAAAAACAAAAAAGAAAAAAAAACAGGAGGAAAACCACCCCAGGGAAAGGGAATCGAACTGGGAACATAGCACCCTCGTGTATCGTCGTTCGCAGCTTTATGTTGGGACACGCCTCCAAGCATGAGTTTATATTATTGCAACACTTTGCAGGCAATTTGCTGCCGGCTGCGGGATTGCTGAGTGATGTTCTTTTCGAATCCAGAATCGGAAGCTGAAAGTCAAGAGATGGTAGCTGACTTTGCTGCAGGATCGGGGTTCGGCTAGGTTGGCTCAGGGAGTGAGCTACAATCGTAAGGGTTTAGTTGATTTGGAAGGCTAATAAGAGAAAATCATTAATAAATATATTACCTTTCGAATATTTGTAATGTAAATGTTTAAAATTCCTTAAACAACTATATTCCTGGCTTAAGAATTATGTTAGATCTTACAGACAACATTCTTGCTTAATTGAGTAAAACTGATGATTTAAAATAAATATTTTTGACTTTAATTGGTTTACTCTTTCTTCAGAACTAGCTACTTTATTTATTCCAGTTCTAAAGCGATATATTTATTTTATATTATTTTCGACAATTTATTTTATTTATTTGTTTTATATATTCATTTTCTCTGCCATTAAACACCAGCTGCCAAAGAAATTATTTAGTGCAAAATTGTATACACAATTTTCCTATAGAGCACTACGTAGTCGTTGCAGCCGGCTCATCATATCCTCATCAGGAATAGCATCAGCCAACCTCTGATTGCTTCTGTGTAGTTTCATGTATAGTACTTTTCGCCTTGTGACGAAGCTGGCCTTTGTTGTAAATTATATTGCCATTAATTACGCGCGGATTTATGTCGCCCAGAGCAGTTAAGCAACCGTAAGGCAGCACGTTAAAAATCACTTTAAAATCATTAAAAAATGGAAGAAAGTCCGCCGCAAGGGTAGAGATACAAATACAAATCCGGATCCTGTGAGCCGCAAAAGGGGGTCATAGTTGAATGCAGGGACTCTAAACGAACGGCCATAAATCAAGGCAGAAATGCGCGCTGTCATAATTTGTCATAGGGCCGGGGCACGCCCACTTTTGGAAAATATGAAAATATACACATGTGGCGGAGGAGAGAAGTTCTCCGTTTTTCGCTTGGTTTGCGGCAAGTTTGTTGCCATGGATGGCCATCGTCGGACTACGCAGGCCTTCAAAGGCACCGAGGACGACTCATTAAAGTGCACTTGTCAACGGGATTGGAAAGGGGTATGGGCATGGAAATGTCTCCATGAATTAACTGCCCATGAATTGACTGCCCCTCATCGACAATCAGCGGCAATCAGCGATGTAAACGGCTTGTAAACAAAGGGGGGGAATTGCAGGGGATATCCAGGGAGTGGGAGGGGAACTACTGGCATTGCCATGCGATCTGTCAGTCCCAGTACCCCTTCCCCCTCCCCCCAAGACGGACGATCGGGCACGGGCACCCATTGCTACTCCGTCGGTTGAAATTCCGCCGAAGACAGAGTCGAACAAAAAATCAAAACGAAAATGCACTCACGCACCTGAATCCCTAATCAGCGGCCTGCGATGACGATCCGTCAGAGCGGACGAGCGGACGGACGGACAGGCGGCAGCTACCGGCGGCAATGCATTTGGTTATTCGCTTTTGGGAACGGGGCAGGTCAAATGGATAGCAGGTGGGGTATATTGGCAGGTAAGGCATGTGGTGACAATTGATATATTGTTATATTTTTAAAAATAAAAATGTTTTCATTAATAGAAATGAGACATGACAATTTAAACTCTTGTTATAATACTTAATACTTAATAATTAGTAAAGGGCCCAAATTTAAGAAAAGTCTTTTTCACGGTCATCTAGGGTATTTACAAATTTGCTTTGCCTGTCTTTCTTTCTTTTTCCGCTACTGTATGTGTAACTTAATTATTCTAATTTGTAATCTTAAATTTAAATAACATTATAAGACAATAACACATATATTTACCTTTTTTTAATAAAAAATTTAGTGGAACTTATTTGAGACTAAGTTTTTTCCTTTTTAAATCTTACCTACCATGAGGGCGAGAACATGTTACTCATATTTTCTTAATGTCAAGGTATTATATTTACTAATAACTAATTTCACTTTAAACACATTGATTAATTTATTCAACCTTGTGGGCTGTTATTCAATTTTGAATTATTAAATAAATATTTCGAAGAAATTATTTTTAAAACACCTCAGTTTTTAGATGGCTTTTAAGTAGATTCGCTGATATCTTTTAATTGTTTCGGTTGGTTTTAAATTACTTTTCTAGTAAAACTTAAATTTAATGTTCTATTAATGTTTATACTTGCAGGGTATTTTAGTAAACAAACCCCTGTCGCTTTACTCTGCACTCTCATTGGTTTTCCTTTTTGTTTGGTGAATTAATTAATTACCATTTTATGATTTTATTAATTTCCAAAACCGAAACATAAAGCATGCAAGCGGCGGCCGTTCTGGCTGTCGCCCCATCCCACTGCCCCGCCCCGCACCAATGCCCACCCCCTGCCAATCCATTGACCAGTGTCGCCGTTTTCTGTCCACCAATGTCCATCGCCATCCGTCCGTATTCCAATTCCCATGGCTTATGGGCACGTACCGGTGAGCTCGTAATAATAATGAATGTAAATTGCCGCAATGAACGATTTAATGTCTTAATTCTTTATTTATACTGCATTTTCATATATGTCGCTGCGGTCACGCCCCCACTGTTCGCAACGGCCAGTGGGGGCGGTAGTTATTCAAACAATTCGATAATTACTATTACTATATGCAGCGGGCAACAAACAAAGTGCCGACCGCATGAATAATGCAATAAAGATAAAATAGAATAATGCATTTCGAAAATATTATGAAAATGCATATTTAAATTGATCAATTTTCAAAAGACTTTTCGCGGCTATTTTCTGGTCACGAAGGAAGCCGTTTGTCAAAATGTGTCCAACGTTTTCGTGCCAGCCAATTAAATATTAATATATTACATCCATCTATCCCCCTCCCCAGAAAGCTAAACGATTCGAGGGAAAATATTAGAAACGGGTGTCCAATTGTCTGAGATTTGGTCAACGCGTCGGCACCTCTGAGGATTTCTAGGGGGTTTTGGGTTTTGGTGTTTGGGATTGATCGAATCTGTTGGGAATGTTGAGAAAGGAAGTACCCACTGAAGAAAGGATGGGGGCTATATAAATAAATTGAAAGTTCTTAAAATTATTTCTTTGGCAATAGACATCCTTAAAAGTTTGTTTATATCTTGGAATTTATTTTAAAATTCTTATATAAAATATTCATTTATTATTCATCAATGACAAACAGGATGTGGTATTCCTCCCTTATAGCCAGTTCCGATATCTTCTGGTTACCGATCCCACCCACAACTTCTCTCCGTTTATCTCTTGCATAATTTGGCACAGCGATCCGGCATTAATCAAAGAACCCAGCTCTGCCAACCCACAATCACTTCCGCTCTGTGGTAGACCACATAAGACCAAGAATCAAGATTAGGGAACACCATAAACCATAATAAACCAAATTGTGGCGTGTGCACGTACAAAATTCAAGAACGAATTTCTGGGTGGCCCAACTAGAGATCATTTAGAATGAGTTACGAGGCCAGAATTCGGCTATTCCTACGTGTCCTGCAGATAGGGACACATTTATAGGGCCCGTAAAACTCAGGGACACACGTGCAGATAATTGTTAAGAGATTGGATCAGATAGGATCTTAGCTGCTGTTTTGGGTAATTGATATTCCTGTCCATCGATTGTCGCAAAGGGAATGGGGAAGAACTCCCGCTGAGCCACTTCGATTCAGTAATCTGACCTCCTGATTTTCCGGCCAGTGGGGTAAAAAACGGCGGACGCAATTTATGCCACAGCATCCGGATAGGTTACACCCACTATTTCCCCAGTCCATTGCGAATTCATGAGCTGGCGAAATAAAACGGCAAATCCAATGAAGGCAGAATAATAAAAAAAAGCAAAGATGTTGCTCGCAAAAAGAGCAAATCATCGTCATATGAACACGACAATGGGGAGCCATCGACCAGGCTCATGCCACGCCCCCAAAAAGGGGACCTGGAAGACCCGTGTCAGTCTGTCTGGACTCGCTCCAGTTCCGCCCACCGACTTCCGGGCCGCAAAGTGCGGAG